TGATTATTGGCCAGGCTGGCACAATTAACTAACTCACTTGTGTAGAAGCCGAGTTCTTCAGCACACTTTTTATGCCGTTTTTGTGGTAAAATTAGGTGCCTAGGCAGATATTCGGGTCAACTTATACTTGAATATATACAGTATATTTTTTTAAATGTCAGATACGTAGTCACCATACTATTAGCATTGTTTAGAGGTGCTTTTTTTCTTAAGATCATTTTATTGGGGGCTCTTACAGCTCTTATAGCAATCCATACATCGATTATATCAAGCATTATTTGTCCATATTTTGCAATCATTTTCTAAACATTCACTTTCTATTTGAGCCCTTTATTCCCTCCTCCTCCCCCTCCTGCCTTCATGGCCCCTTGATAAATTATAAATTATTATTATTTTCATATCTTATACCAACCGCTGTCTCCCTTCACTCACGTTTCTGTTGTTCGTCCCCCTCAGGGTGAGGGTGGGGGGAGGTTATGCATAAATCCTTGCAATCAGTTCTCCCTTCCTTCCCTTCTCCCATCACCTTCCCCCTGCCCTCTATCCTCCTGGTATCGCTACTCCCAATTCTTTTCCTGGGGGGTCTATCTGACCTGGATGACATGTGTTGTGAGCTCTCATCTGTACCAGTCAGTGTACATGCTCCGGTCTACCCAGAACTGACAGGTAGGACTGGGATCATGATAGTCGGGGGTGAGGAAGCCTCAAGGAACCAGAGGAATATTGTGTGTCTCATTGGTGCTATACTGGTCGCGGGATGACGTATCCCTTCCTTGCCACCCTTCTGTAATGGGATGTCTTATTGTCCATAAATTATTGCTCCGACTCCACCCCCACCCCTGTTCTCAACAATATGGATTTTTTTTGTTTGTTTTTTGTCTTCTGAAGCCTGTTACTTGGTCCCATAGAAACTTCATGATCACAAAGGCTGGTGTGCTGCTTCCATTGGGCTTGTTAAACTTCAAGCCTTTAAGACCCCAGATGCTATATCTTTTGTTAGCTGGGCGCCATCAGCTTTCTTCACCACATTTGTTTATGCACCTGCTTTGTCTTCAGCGATCATGTCAGGAAGGTGAGCCTCACAGAATGCCAGGTTGTTAGAACAAAGTATTTTTGCGCTGAGGGAGGGCTTGAGCAGAGGCCTAAAGTCCATCCACTTCCTCAATGTATTGCCATATAAATATACGTACATAGGCCAGTACCTCTATTTTTATAAATTAATACATTTACATAAGTGCACACCTATGTTTATACCTCCATCCATTGCTTTGCTTCCTAGATCTCTACTCTGTTTTCTTCTACCTTCTTCCTGCCCTTCCATCACACTCGCCCTTCTGCTGCCTCTTAGTAATTCTAGAGGTACTTTTTTTTTAAATGCTTTTATTGGGGGCTCTTACATATCTTATCACAATCCAGAAATTCTTCCAGTGTGTCAAGTACATTTGCACATATGCTGCCATCATCATTTTCAAAGCATTCTCTTCCCACTTTAGCCCCTGATATCAGCTCCCCATTTCTTCCCCCTCCCTCGCTCCCCCGCCTGCCTTCCCTCACAAACCCTTGATAAGTTGTAGATTTTTATTTTCCATATCTTACTCTAGAAGTACTTTTTAAGGACCTACTGTAGGACAAATATACAGAAAAACTCAAAAGTTACTGCTTATTAATATGGGGGGGGGTTATTTATAGTGTTTAGCTTTTTCCTATGTGCTCATGAATTTTTTCCTTAAGAGTTTGATATTCTTTTTTTTTTTTTTTTTTTGAGTTTGATATTCTTTGACAATAATCAGGGCACAGAAAAAAAAAGAAGTTTGCTTTAAGTGAAAATTGTCAAAATTCCCACTGTCCCACTCTGCCATCCCATTCTACCATATATCTAAATTCAGACAGTTCTAACCCAGACTAAAATGAATAACCCTATAGCCTTTATGGCCAGGCGAGGGTAAATTCAAAAGTATTGCTACTGGCATTCCAATTCATGTGTATCTGGGTTTTTACCAAGCAAAATGTATTTCCACATGTCCGTGTGATCAGTGGACAGCTGCGGACAATCCTCGTAATGCGCGGGTCTGACTCTCATCGAGGGCCTGCATGCAACAAGACACACTCACAACAAGGGCTTTCGAGCTCTGCCGGCCAGTTAAACTCAAAGCAGAGAGGTCAGTTCAGAAGGCTCTGCATACATCTGTCTTGAGTGAGTCTGAAGGAACAATCTTGATAGACCTTCTCACAGGACAAGGACAGTCACAGGAGGTTATAATGAAAAGGCCTTAAGAAAATGGAAACTGCATTGATAAGGAGAAGCCCAGGAAAGCTGTGCCCTGTTGTTTCCCCTCGCAGCGAGTGCCCTGCTCCTTCTCTGCAGGTAGCAGGGCTGTCCTGCAGGAGGCGCCCTGGGAAACCTTACCCCATATGCCTGGTCATTAGCCCTGGCTTCGCCCCTTCAGGCTTCTTTTTGTTCCTGACACTCAAAGTCCTTTTAAAAGGATTGCAATTTGAATCCCTCCAGGATCCCAATACCTCCGTATGTCTCTCTGTAAATTAAAGCGCTCCGAATTCTTCAGGGTGGGGCTCAGAGATGGAAACACTCCGTTCACAAGCATCCAGAGAGAGGGGAAGGATATCTCAAAGAACAGTAGCTGTGTATTTCGATATTTTGTTCCATCTGTCATCAGATCATGTGTGATTCATCATTATAGAAGCCAGTGTTTCAGAGCATCTCTCTATGTGGTGGCCTCTCACCCACGAGCAGTACACCTGAGTGAGACCTGGAGTGAGTGAGGATTGGGCCTTTTCTTTTGTAAAATGGAGAAAAGTCGGGACAGAGAGATTCTCACAGAGATCCCTTATAGGAAAGAGCACAAATGGAAACTTAGAATCTGAAAAACAAAGCCTCTTAGCAGTCTTCATTGAAGTACTCCTGGAAAGCCCTGAGTTATGTGTACCCCAATGTGGTGATCTCTGCTCCAAACTGAAACCAGGAGCCATTGACACTGATTGAAGTTCTGGGTGAGAACCGTGAGCCTGAGACTTCCTGGCTTGCCTCTGGAGCCCTCCAGGTCAGCAGTGCTGTGCAGAGATACAGGCTGTGCCAGAGGGCCTGCGCAGTGAGTGGCTATTGCACTGAGAAATGAAACGAGTTAAGTTTGATAATTTGTAGTTAAATTATTCAAGATTATGCATTGAGATCATTAAAGAAGATTTATCCAAGTAAAGCTTTTTTTTTAGGGAAATGTTTTTTAAATGAAAACTTGAAGGACAGAATACATTTTCTAGGATCTCACTCACTCTCTGTGTGACTCAGTGACCCTACAGGACAGGGTAGAGCTGTCCCTGTGAGTTTCCAAGACTGTAACTATTACCAAGAGTAGAAAGCCCTGTCTTTGTCCTACAGAGCCAGCCGGTGGTTTCGAACTGCTGACCTTTAACCACTTCACCACCAAGGCCTCTTTTTCCTAGTATGTGAACTAAATAATAAATCCTACTTACTTTATCTAGAAACCAATTTTGGCTTATTTCCTATATTACAGGATATCCACCTTGCAAAACGTTTTTATGACATGGCAGCTGAAGCCAGCCCAGATGCCCAAGTACCAGTCTTCCTTGCCCTCTGCAAGCTGGGCATTGTCTATTTCTTGCAGTACATCAAGGAAACAAACGTAAGTGGTTCACGGTTTTGACTTGTGTTTTTCTTTTGGGGAGGTGGAGGCGGGGGAGGGGGGGCGCAGTTATTTCTTTGTTTTGTTTTTCGTTTATGAGTCTCTTGATGAAAATACAAATGCCACCATCTGGATCCCTGAGTTTTGTATTTAAAAAGCAGAAGTGGGGCTGCTGGGGAAGGCCGGGCCCTGCAACTGCCTGGTCTCCCTGCTGCAGACCCCAAGCAGGCCTGGTCTCCAGTGTTGCCGCATTTTCCACTGAGGCACCTGTTTCCTGGGTTAGAGCAATACTGAGGCTAAACCGTGCATTTAGAAAGAGTCGTTAACCAAATTCAGTCAACATAAAATCGGCTGGCTGCCTAGCCATAACTCAGACCAGTCCCTTACAATTGAGGGGGCGGAGGGGGGTGGACAGCAGAGAGTGCCTGCCAAGGCCTGATGTGCCTGAAACCCTTCTGATCTGACACACAAGTTGAAACCACCACCAACACTTTTTCTAAAAATGGCGTGAATGATTGAAATAGGCGATGAGGACATAGCAGGAGATGAGGAGCATTCACAGTACTTAAGTACACCTGGTCTTTGCTTACATTGTGTCCCTGTGTTTTTGTTAGGGGTCCTTGAGCCGCCTCTCACTCACAGCGAGCGTTCGTGTGATAGAATGCCGGGCCGCCCTGTCCTCACGCTTGTCCTTAGGTTGAGCCCGCTGTTGCAGGAACTGGGGTGGTCCGTCTCTTGGAGGGTCTTCTTTTTTGCCAACACTCTCCTTTACCAAGCATGGCGTTTTTTCCAGGAATTAACCCCTCCTGATAACATGTCCACAGGACATGAGACAGAATCGCACGATCCTTGATTCTGAAGAACATATTAGCTGTATTTCTTCCAAAACATACATTGTTTTTCTAGCCGTCTGTGATATATTCAGTATTCTGCAAACACAATTCAAATGCCTCAATCCTTCCCTCTTTTTAGCCCCGTCCAGCTTTCAAATGCATATGAAGCCATCGAAAAGACCATGATTTGGGCCAAGTGCACCTCAGTTCTCATGACATCTTTGCTTTTTAAAACATTGAGTCTTTTGCAGCAGATTTGCCCGATACAGTAGTCATTTGACTTCTTGACAGCAGCTTCCAAGGCTATTGATGGTAAATTTTTTCTTCATAATGATTTGCAGTCTGTACTGGAGACTTAGTCTTTGCCCTAGCAAATGACTCAAGTACCGATAGTCCCTGATAATGGACCAGTGTCTCTGTAGTTGTTTTACTCCAGAATTAAATGGAAGGCAATAAAATGATCGATCAACCTACTCAGCCATTCCAAGTTTTGTTGGTTTTTTTAAAGTTAATATTAGTGGTAAGACAATCAAATCTTACAGCAGACAGTGAAAACTGGGAATCACCATCATCACCCAAACCCATCACAGACCCTGTCCTCGAGAGCCGAGTTAAGAGTTTCTCCTCATTGTGTTCCCAAAAATGACTAAATGCCTGCACCAAATATGTGTTATGGGATCTTTTGTAAAGTAACTCTACTTAAACATACAGGGTAGATAAGTAGCAGCCAGAAAATATCAGGAATAATTTCTGTTAAGTGACCTTCAACGATTAAAAATACTATACACTAAAAGACTAATTTCTTAGTTTGAATTCTGGTGTTTAATTTTTCTTTTTAGGTAAGTCATAGCTAAAAAGTGTGTTCTATTCAGCTATCAAACATTTGAATGACTGCCCTCTTCATCTCCATAAGAGAAGTGAACTAGCCCAGCTGTCTTGAAATTCAGGATTTTCAGCTGATTTACCATCGCTTGAAAACAGGTCACAGGTGTGCCAGGTTACTGGGCCCCTGGAACTTCATTCTCTCCAGTGTTTCTCCCACAATTTCCTGTGACCATTGGTGACAAAGTAAGGCATGAGATTACTGATGGAGCGGAATTGTGCTAGACATTGTAGGTAGTCAGCTGTTACCAAATGATTCAGTTCCTGACACCTGTTGCTTTTAGCTTCAGTTGAAGGTGAAACCTGTTTTTTTAAAAAGCACACATTGAAAGATGCCTAAAACCAAATATTTGAATAAGTTCCATATCTATCTCTACAATGTGTGATGTCACTTTCTCACTTCCTTCTCTAATATTTTAGTGACCATCATGCTTTCCATTTTGTCCCCACTCAGCTCCGAGATATGTTCACCCAGCTTGATATGGACCAGCTCTTGGGGCCTGAGTGGGACCTCTACCTCATGACCATCATCGCGTTGCTCTTGGGAACAGTCATAGCGTACAGGCAGCGGCAGCACCAAGACTTGCCAGTGCCCAGGCCTCCTGGCCCGCGGGCAGCTCCCCCTCAGCCAGAGGGGCTACCAGAGCAGCAGCCTCCACAATAACAGCCCCTGTGTCCACCTGGAACCATGACCACCCAGGCCAGCGTTTGCTGACAACACTGACACGTGATGACTGGGGACTGGATCAGCGTCGACCCTCCTGGAAGAGGCACGAGGGAGCATTTAATTCTTAAAGCTGCTTAGAATCTGCTGCCTTGATTTTCAGGGATAAGTAACTCTTACCTACGCTGAGTTGAATGTTTGTTGCAGTGCCATATGGAATAACAACTGTCCGTGGCTTCCTTTTTCCCTCCTCCCACCCTTCCCCCTCCCCCCCTGGAAACATATGTGAGACGCTCAGAAGAATGTGTACTGTATCCAGCTGTCTTTCCTGGGTCCCTTTGCTCATTCTCTCCACGTGCATAAGCTCCTGTATCGGCCATCTTTGAGGTCTTATGCATCAACACTAAGGACCGATCAGTGTAAAGAAACCCCAGGTAGCTTCAGGTTTCACATGTTTGAAAATAGAATTTGCCTTTTAAATTAAAAGGAAAAAGAGGAGAGGGTGGGGGGGGGCGGTAGCTTCAGTGTTCTGAAACTGCAATAACTGAGAAATTATTTTACCAATCCTCGTATATTTATCAAATATACGACATATTTGTTATTTAAAAGGCAGGCAGGAGGCTTCTTAATATTGGTGACCGTCACACTTTATACCATACTCCTCCCCTTCAGAGGCTGCAGGGCGTTGTTAGGCCTGTGTGGATTTCACTCTGGAGTGGAACATATATAAACCATTGTGAACTGACTCCGTGAGCGACTGTGAATTTGCCCGCTTACTCAATGGCATTCGCTTGCTTGGTCTCACTTGGTATGGAAGCCAGAGGATGGATGGCCTAGGAGAAACCAGGAGGGGACAATTCCAACGTGCACTCTGAACTGGTACCAAGGTCATAAGCACCGTTTCCCAAAAGGGAAGCATTTGTTCCCGGGACCCCTTTACTCTGCATTCTTGTTGCAGTAAGAGCAGCCCCTTCGCCTGAACTCTGTCCGTCGGGGATACTTGACAGACGCGACTTTATTCTCTACACTCAGAGAAGGAGAGATTGATGAACTCAGTGGCCGAGAAAAGCCAAAGCCCGTTTGTACTGTTTTCTATGCTGTTCAGGTAGATTTTTATTTCTGCCAGTTTTATATCACAGTAAGAAGGGACCTGCGTGCTTAGACACTGTCATCATCATCTTCCTCCCGCTATTCACATGAGGAAAATCAGAGCTGCTGCACTTAAGACTTGTTAATAGGATGAGAGGAAAACAATTTCACACGTCACACACAGCAAGGGGCTGTTAAACTTACGCTGGATTTGCACTGTTAGGAGCAGAGAGAGGTATTGCCTACGTTAGTATCTGAGCAGGTTTTCTGACCTCGGTCTCTCTATTCTTTTTCTCATAATCCTTCATCTGCCAGGAAAACTGAAAATTTGATTAGCCTGTAGAGTGATAAGACTTTGGTTTTGGAAGTTAGGATTGTATTCAGAACTAGATGTAATTGGTCTCTAATGAACAGGTAGGTTTTCAGTGTGAAATTATGCTGTGTGTGTGTGTGTGTGTGTGTGTGTGTGTGTGTGTGTGTGTGTGTGTGTGTGGAGTATTATGAGAAACCTGGTAAATTCCCTTCCAGGTAAATTGCTTCCAAATTTGAAGAGATGGTCACAGAACTGTATGAAATAAGAGCCTATATGTGAAAAGAGTAGGAAATGTTATCCTTGGAAGTGACTGTCCCTTTGGGTGCCCCTCATCATAAATAGTGACATTGAATGAGATTTGAGTGCATTTGGTACCACATTCTGGTTATCTTCTCCATTACCTCTTCTCCCTCCCCTTCAAAATAAGTAGAATCCACAATTCACCTGGATGGAGCTCTGAGTTTTTTTGTGAAGAAACCTTCTGAGATGACTGTCAGCTTTATTTGTTTCTGTAGCCAACCATCTGATTTCTCCCCAGGTGCGTTTGTGTCTCCCTCTCTGCTCCCCTCCATTGGTAGTTCTTACAGCAGGGGCACCTCCTAAAGATGAGGGGAGAGTGTTGGCAAGCTCTCCATGCCAGAACAAGCCTCTTCCTAGTTTTCCACTTGCCACATCCTCTTCTTGTGATTAGTTTTCAAAGTACCCATCACTTGGTTTGTTTTCACCTCCCTGGGGTCATTTTTTTAACCAGAAATTTGAATAGTATGTTTAAAATAACATACTTCCTGTGGATTCATTTAGAAAAAATCTCAACATACTTAGCTAGTTTTTTTGTTTGTTTTGCTTTTTCTCTTTACCTCCCCTCATTCGCGGGACATGTTACCTAAGGAAAAAAGGGACTGCATTTGTGTTTTTTCTCCTAAAATGATGCTCAATATTTACCTGAACAAATGGCATCCATTTGAATAAAATGACAGTAACGAAAGCTAGCTAATGTCAGTGACATGAAACTAACTCAGGGATTCAGGAGTTTTACCTTTAGAATTAATTCATGGTTAGCAGAGGAAATGCGGCTTCATTTCTCCGTGGTAGCCTGTCGCCTCCTGGTCCCTTTCATAGTCTGTCTCCTGCCCTGGAAGGTGGTGATGGGAGTTCTCTTTCGCTTCTAGGCCCCGTGCATTGGGCTTGTTGGCTGCCGAGTTATTTCACCACTTAGCTGAGCTTGAGACTGTCCAGTTTACTTCTATTTGATGTTGCAAAGGAAGTTTGTTTCTTTCTGTGTTTAAAGATTATTGTTTCTCTTTTCTGGGTCGGGCTTCTTTTAATTTTGGTGAATCCTCAAGGGCACCAAGCAGATGAGCGGAAAGTCTTTTTTCCCTCCAAGATTCTTTATTTGGTACTTCAGTCAGATGAACGAGTGAATCATTGGACTTGATACACTTGAGGATTTGTTGCCCTTCTACAGATTAATTTGTAAAAGTTTCAAATTATTTGTTTGTTAACAGATTATAAATTTGTTAAGCTCTTTTGTCTCTGCACAGGTAGGAAATTTCAGAAACACCCCCCGGTGACCTGGTGAGAAGCTGGTACTCTGTTTGATTAAGGAACTGCTGGTGCTGAAGTGTTTTCTATAGAAGTTTGGTTTAGATCAACCCCCCGCCCCTTCCTTGCTCCAGTGTTTTGGAAGTGTGCATGCAGGCCTGTAAATGAAGCCCACCACGCTTCCTGTCTGTAGCATGTCTAACTACATGTGCAGACCATTTCCGGGGGGTAGGGGGTGTTGGACTAAGGTTTTGTGTGCAGTTTTCAAAGCAAAATGCTTCAGGTAGATTGCCCCCCTCACCTGCCAGGAGGAGCAGTGTGGGCTTTTTGCCCCAGTGACAACTGGGATTGTTTTGAAAATGAGTTTAACGTGTTACCCATTATTATGCCTAGCTGGGTGCAGGAAATCCTGAGAACAAGAGAAACGTCTGTCTCCGTGCAGATGTTGTCAAGTCGCGGCGCTCCAGTGGGATTTTCCACTATAGAGTCAATATGCCATGCTCTCTGAGGCAACAAGTTGGTTTGTAAATGCGTTGAGTTTGCTGAAAAGAGATGAAATTTTTCCTTCTATTTGCCAGTCCCTGAAAATTTAATACAACCCCAGTTTTAAATGGCTTGCCTTTTTAGCCTGACCGTTTGCCCAAGAGAGTGTGTGTGCATAGGCAGGTCTGTGGGTGTGTATGGAGTCGTCGCATGCTCACAGGTTCTCCCATGTGGACTGGCAAACACACTGACACTGTCCTCTCTGATGTAGAGAGAGAAATCATCATAAGATCCCAGTGTAAGCGCTATAAACACACAGAAAAGGAGGCTTTTTAAGCTGGCATTGAGAAGGATCACCACGGCAGACTTTGTACATTTGTTTTGTATTTAGTGAGATGCAACAAAAAGGTTGGTGATGTGTAATATACTTGTGTAAACAAACAAATCCTGTTAATAGAGAGATGTACAGATTCATTTTGTACTGTATCTTGAAACTTGTGAAATAAAGATTCCGCCTCTGGCTTTCCTGTCCGCAGTACGCTGCCACGGCCCCACAGCAGTCTGCTCAGTGGCGGCGGCGGTGGTGTTTTGTAACCTAAATGATTCAATATTTAATGAACCTTTCTGAAACTTCAGAAGCTTCCAGAAAAAAGCAGTCATAGGGGACATATTAATCTACCTTTTATTTCTGTTAACTCCCAGATTTTAGATTCCCATAAGTTGACTATTGCCCTAGGGAAAATACTAACTTGCTAAGGAATGTTACCATTTTTTTTTATCTTTGACCTGAATCAGCCTGAGATACATAATACGCGTGAGGTGTTCTGACGCTACCTTACTATATAACGTGGTTTATCTGGTTTGTTTATGCATTGCCTTGTCCCTATAAATTGTATTAAGAGGTCATACAGAGATGCATATACAACACAAGATATTGAGCATATGGAGAATAAGATTGAAATAAATGAAAATGAAGACCAAAAAATGATAGTTAACCAGAGGTGAGCTTTGTACACAAAAATGAATGCCAGGGAAATGTGGGAGAGCCACAGGTCAGCTGTGGCGGCGGCAGCGTGGCCCCTTCACCTGGCCTTCCCCGGAGGTCTGCTTGCCACTGGCTCCTTATTGCAAGTCAGCAAAGCCGGTCTTCCTGTCAAGCAGCCTTTTTCCTCGAGCTTCCCTGTGGTACAATTTTTTTTTAACTGTTTTATTGGGACATGATCCCCATAGCCTACAAGCCGAGGCTTCAGTCCCCTGAGGTGTGCATTTTGATTCCCTCTGAGTCAGACTTGACTTACCGGCAGTGGTTTGGTTTGGGTACTAGCCCTGCAATGTGCTTCTGCCAGTTAGAGCTTAGACACATACATGCAAGCAAAGGCTTAGAGTAATTCCTGTTGTGAACGTTAGTTTTTGAAAAATCAGAAAAAGGAAAAAGATTTCTCCTTTGGGGATAGTTTTCATGAAGAAGTACATAAAATTAAAAAGCTTTAGAATTTCCCATTTCAGAAAGAGGTGTTGCTACACCATGTGTCTTACTTCTCCTCGGTTCTACTACCATCACTTAGTCATCGGATCGAAATCGGATCCTGGAAAGCCCACCCAACTTGTAGTTGGTTGTTAGTATTACACTTTGAGCAAAATCCTGATTTTCCTAGAAACCAAATTCTTTGCATCTAAATCCCTTTTAAACATGGCCTAGTGTGTTAATGCTGACTTATGTGTGAAATCATACTTGTAAAATCCCACATAATTTTCCCAGGTCAATTGAGTGGAATGTAAAAATGGAAATTGACTTTGGAGCTCAACCCATTTGCTCGTCCCTTCTTTACCCCCAAGAGAACGCTGTTAAAGTCCACCAGTCCACCTCTGGGATTAAAAGGGACGTGCCACAAATCTTACACTGTATAGATGTGAGAGTCAAGTAATCTAACCTTGACAAAGCAGAGGTCATTGTGTGTTATGTGACTCAAGGTTTCAGTGTGCAACAGAAACCTCCACCTTCTGAAACCTGTATTTCGAGGCTTGAAAGCACAGCTGTGGGTTTCGGGGCTTGCCAGTCCAGGGTTCTCTGCCTCTCCATCCCCTTGCCTTTGCCCAGACAGTGTTTTGCTCAGAACAGTCCGATTCAATAAACATGCCTTATTTTAAGTGAGGTAGCTGAGGATAAACAGGCTCACTTTGGTTGGGCACAAGGATGGAGGCAGGGCAGCAGCACCCCGCTGGCATTGCCTTTACATGCTAGCTTAGGATTTACATGAATTCTTCCAGCCTCCATGTGCTCTTTGGCTGATGGCATCTTTCACGAGGCGCAGCAATGTTTTTCCAGGACTCAGAGGTGAGAAGCACTGTTGTCCTCCAGTGACCCTGTGGTGTCTCTGGGTGATGCAAACAGCTGACTCTGGACCACAAGGTTTGCCACGTCAAAGTCCACCTTAAAAAAATGCTTAATCACAAAAGTTTAAAGCCCACCTACCCAGCAGTGCTTCTGAAGAAAGCCCTGGCAACCTGCATCCCTAAAATGGCAACTAAGAACGTCCCGTGGGCGGGCGGGGCCATGCTGCCCTGCGCAGGCTATCGGCAATTGGGTTCAACTCTGTGGCGTGAAATGTCTGCTGTCTTCAGTAGAAGTGTCCACCCTGGAGCCAAACCATACGCCTTTTTATTTCTTTTTTTTTTTTCTTTTTATTTCAAAGACAAGAGCTAATGTCATCAAAGCCCAGCGTTTAGTAAATGGGTGTCTGTATTTCATCACTCACTGAAGACTTAAAAATCATTAAAACCTCATCACTCAGAACTCCTCAGGGACAATAATGGGAGTAGTGATACCGTGAGGGTAGGGGGGAGAAGGGGAACCGATCACAATGGTTGACACATAACTACCCCCACCCCCCAAGGGGAATGAGCAACAGACATGTGGGTGAAAAGAGACAGTGATCAGTGTAAGATATGAAAATAATTTATAAATTATCAAGGGCTGAGGGAAGGAAAAAATAAGCTGATACCAAGGGCTCAAGTAGAAAATGTTTTGAAAAGGATGATGGCAACATATGTACAAACGTGCTTGACACAATGGATGTATCGATTGTTATAAGACCTGTGAGAGCCCCCAATAAAATGATTTAAAGATAAACCTCATAACTAAGCTGATGCTTTGTGTATATTTCAGGATTACTGAACCAAAGGAAGCCCCATTGGCTCTCACCAAAAACAGTAAAGAAGCCAGAGGTAGGGACATTGGTGCCTTGAAGCAACTTAATAGAAGCAAGCAAGCCCTGTGCAGTGGGATAAAATCCTAAATTTAACTGCAGAAAAAAAATAAATTGCATTCATGAGCTCTATTACCACTACTCCAACGGGCGTTACAAGTGACTCCTGCCATGCAAGAGTTGTTTTGAACAAGGAGACAGGTGCATAGGTGACCAAAGATCCGGGCTATGGTTGGATCTTGAAGCCTGACGGGATTTCTCCATGGTCCCTTCCGAGCAGCCTAATCCCTTTATAAAAGGGTTGATAGGTGAATCCTGACCCTGAGTGCTGAAGGAAGAAGAAGGAATCTAGAGTCGAGGACTGGCAGGTGGTATCGACGGGGCTCTGGTCTCCAAGCCACTCTACACAGTTCTCATAAACATCTCATAAAGGTTGTGCTGGATGGACTGGGAGCCTGCCCAGCGCCTTGGAGGTCTGAAGTGTCAAAAGCCATTGCATCGACATATTTTTTTCCAATGATGTTGACTGCCAGGTCTCCGTGGTGCTCAGCATCCTGAAAATGGCACATTGCACCAGCCTGAAATGCTCAGGTCTGGATAAGTTACAGGCAGAGTCACCCTTTGTGTTGAAATGGCCCATCTGAGCATGTATACCATCGTTTTAACTTCATCAGTCCTTCAACAACCTTTAATGACCAGGGTGTCCCAGACACTGACATGTACTGTGAATTTAAAGACGAGTAAGACCCAGGCTCTTGTCCTCTCTGGGAGTCAGTCACATACTGAGCACAATGTAGTGCTTCACGTCCCTGCTGGATTTCATCTTAAATACTTCATGACGTCAGCGCAGTCAGCATCAGTCCCACCTAACGGATGCGGAAACTAAGGCTCAGAGCGCTGTGAGGGACCTTGCTAAAGTCACACCAGGAGTATAAGTCTGAACGTGGGAATTCAAATGAAAGACTGCCTAGACTCTAAGATCCAAATCCTCAGTACTCTGCTGCTGTTTCCGTAATGTAACATGGTAACGTTCATAATAGAATATGAACCCCGTGCTTCGGAGAAACAAAAAGGGTAACAAGTGAACCTTGTTCCTGGTGTGCCGGTGTGCGGTTGCTGAACGGATGAGCCTCTGGCTCAGGGCGCACTGAGTCTAACAGTGCCCGCAGGGCTTCCGATGGCCGGCGTTTCAGAAGTGCCCGCAGGTCTTTCTCCCGGGGCACCTCAGGTAGACTGGATGGCAGATCTTTCCGTTAACCTCTGAGCGTGTTAACCTTTCACCCCAGTGTTACTGTTTACCTCCTGCTTCTGCTTTATAAGGTAGAGGCAGCAAGACAACAAGCATCTAAGCACCCTGTGGGCCGTCCATCCCTATTCCCTCAGGTCTGGAGCCTCAGCCGGGCTGTTTGGAGAGTTCGAGAGCCTTAGAGCTGATGTCTGCCTTTCTCCATTTGCATCTGTAGGAGCTGGAATATCCCAAACATTCCTTCCTTGGCTCATAAGTCTAGCCTCAGGGCTGGGGTGACTGAAACAGCTGGGACCAACCAGCAACATTTCCTCAGAGTGAACAAGAGAAGATATTCCAAGGACTGAAGCTGTTAGACTTCCTAGAGCCCTCATCTTGGCCGTCCCAACGAGAAATGAGCCAGCCCAGATTCAAGCAGGGCCGGAGAGAGAGGAGCAGGCTGAATAAAGTTCAGAGAAAGAGCTTCAGTGTAGAGCCAGGAAACTGGGCACACAGGTTCCTTGTGTGCAGCAGGGAGGGAAGACTGATGGTGGCTGTCCTGGAGATAGCGTACCATCATCTTGAATTCCTTTTCCTCCGTGGCATCAGCAAACTTGGGAGTTAAAATAAATAGATATAGCACCAATGAAACACACAATAGTCCTCTGGTTCCTTGAGGCTTTGTCACCTCCCACTATCATGACCCCAGTCTTGCCTTTCGGTTCTGGCAAGACTGGAGCCTATACACTGGTACACATAAAAGCTCATGACACACACGGAAGCCAGGTCAGATAAACCCCTCAGGAACAGGAATGGGAGTAGCTATACCAGGAGGGTGGGGAAAAGGTGGGGGGAGGAGGAGAGAAAGGGAAAAACAATTGCAATGATTGACACACAACCTCACACACACACACACACACCCCAAGGGGAATGAACAAGTGAAACCATGGGGGAAGGGAGGCAGCGGTCGGTGTAAGACATGAAAATAATAATTTATCAAGGGGTCACAAGGGGAGGGGGAGAGGGAAAAAAGAGCAGCTGATACCAAGGGCTCAAATAGAAAGTAAACATTTAGAAAATAATGATGGC